AAAAAAAACCCAGGGCTACCAGAACGCATTTGACCCGAATCCTAACCTTGATATATACGTAAACAAATCTCTGACTGATTCAGCTTTGTCCACAGAGGAAAACCCTTTTCACCTTCATGCTGCTCTGCTGCAAACAACTCCCGGCTAGAGCAAGGTCAGCCAAAAAAAAAAAAAAAAAAAATCATTCTGAAGAACAGAGGGTGGGGAAAGACGTGTGGTAACAGTTTACCCCTTACATAGTGTCAAATTGATGAGAGTGAGACAGATTACAGCACGCCGTTCCATACTAATAGTACTCAATATGAGTTTTCAATGGATTGCTTCCTTAGTGGTGTTTAAAATGTATGTGTATACCATTGTTAACTTTTGGTTTACTTATTCTCCACTTCACTTTAAGAGCTTTGGCTTCATTGTAGTGATTGACTCAGTTAAATGCCAGATTTCACCTGGAGTGAAGTATTTTTACACAGTGTCATAAAAAATCGACAGATCTAAACTTGTGTACTGCTAAAGTTTTTATCACAGACTTCAGATTTAAACAATCATTCAGTCTGTTCAAGCTTTTCTCTAACTTCCTTTATAAACTTTAGACTTGAGCTTGTTTTCTTTTATGACTCAGAACAGCGTCTCTCACATTTTTGCTCCTCAGCAGACATGCACTCTTTTATCACTACAGCATCTCTCTCGTCTTACTCATTCTGTCCCTCAGCATGAGATGCTCAAGATACAGCGACCACCACTGATCTAAAATCAGCTTTCTCATACTTCCAGACTTTATTGCACATTGACAAAGCGGCTTATGGTGAAGTGAAGGGAAGAGAGGGAATGTGCGCTTTATTCAATGTATAGGATGTAACAGGGCCAACGTAGGAATGAACACAATAATTGTTCCATTTCAATGATCTTAATATTGACTATAATAGGGGGCCAAATTAAAAAAAATAAAATTGGCTTTTTTTCTTTCTATTTCTTCTTCTTCGTCTTCTTTTTTTTTTTTAAAGAAGTGTTTTGATAAGACATCTTTAGAGTGGCATTGTTTTCATATATGCACCCCATTAAATGGGATTTGGAATTTGGAGCAACAATCCAACCCTCTTATCACTATAATAACACCACGCCAGCCTACTTGTGGCAGTCAGCCTCTTCTAGGACCAGAGCGCCTGTGTTTGGATCCTGGTTAGCAAAAGTTTTGATTGGATTGTGATCTCTGTTGTGAATGTTTTCCTTTATGCCTCTTCACCTGATCCAAGCAGGAGATGTGGGTTTAGTTAGAATCCAATAGTCCTCTACATTCCCCTCTGTATCTCTAATCAAGCCACTACTGAGCAATCAAAATAAATCAGAGGGATTGGACATAAATCCTTCTCGAAATGATACCCTGGCCACACACCACTTTATCTTCTCATGAGTGGGGCAAGGCCACAACTGCCAAGAGTGTGAATTTGCACAGAAGTGACTAATAACATTAATGATGGTTTTGTTTCAATTGGCAGGGCAAGTGCGCCTGCATTCAAACAGTCTCAGAGGACACCTAACACTTTTAGTTCTCTAACAAATCCACCTCCACCACTTTTGAAGGTGTACTGCAGGTCATTTATCAAACTCTTCCCTCTGTTGTCACTGTGCCCATCTGAAAGGTGAAAGAACGAGTTAAACTTCTGTGGGACTGTGGAGATGACAGTGGCTAGTCAGGAGCTTGGACAAGTTGTTAAGTGAAGGGGAATAACCCCTGAGAGTAGTTTCTGAAGAACTTCCAGGTAAAAGAAAAAGATGTTCAAATATTACACTGAAAAAAACTGCTTCACACCACAACCTTCGATCCAACCAGAAATGCAATATCACAAGTATGCCAGCCAATGCTCTGCAAAACATCCACCAGTTTCAGGTGTTTATCAATGTTGTGTGAGCCAAATGTTATGTAAGAAAAAGCTTACAAAATCTTAGCAATCATCAGTTTTAAACCAACACTTGTTTTTTAACTTGCAACATTGTGAGAATATTTGATTACTGTGAATATTAAAGTTAACAGAAAAGGTGTTGGGAAGGGGAAAGGTGGTTTTAAACATCTAGTTTTGTAAAAACCGAGACAGAATATTTAATGTTCGTAAAATCTGCAACCAAGTGGAGTTGTTGAACTTGATAAATATTTATAGTCTTCTTCATGTGAATTGATGACTCTGTGATTCACTCTAATCTTTAAAGGATGAAGGCTGCAAACGTAACCCATGCCCTTCTATTAGAATGACCTCAATCAATACATTGTCTGCTGGCTGTGATGTACTGCCTTCCGCTGTGTTTTAAAACCTGGCTTGTCATTGAACCTCTTGTTTGCAAGAAAATTATGTCCCTGAAGCGACTATCATCCTGTTGGTTGGCTGACATTTGAAAGTCAAACCAATAACAGACACAGACTGCAAAAGATATTCACCTGTTACACTGCATTATCTTTTTTGGACAAAAGTTTTAAACTGGTTCTAATTTGCTTAAAGTATATCTAATCTCCAGACATAACTGCCTGCTAATTTGCATTTCTTCTCCTGTTGGTAGCCTGTGTGCTGTCTCAGCTCCACTTCAACACAAAAGCCCCCTGGGACCCACAAGTTCAGAGGCTAAGTCAAAGCTTGTGGGAACTAATCTTTACTAAGTCATTCTCTTCTCAGATCACCATGCATCCCAAACTGGGGTCATCTCTACTGTCCTCATCTGTGGTCTGATGTTTATGAGGAATGCAGTCTGCTCTGCTAAATGAATGATGCTCATGTTGATCGCAAAAGAAAACAAAATACCGTACCAGTGTTTATTAAGGGGTGTGGAAACTAAAGGCTACATGGGAAATGTGATATGCATTGCCTAGAAAGAGTGCCCTGAATGTAATTATTGCATTTACCAAGAAAACAATCAATCACAAGTTTTTAATACAGAAACTATATATTTACATTAATATACAGTGTATTCAATATAAAAACGTTTCAAGTTTAAATATTTTAGAAGTAAAAAAGATAGTTTGATGTACATTTATTCTGTTGAAGAGATTTAACATTTAAAAACAGTTTTGCCTAGATCAACTTATAGAGCCAATTATCCTTGTTTTGGGTTAGTTATAATGACATATTGTGATGAACTTCAGTTCCAATTGTTATATTCTTCAGTTAAAATATAATACAGCCCTGTCTTAAATATATTATTCCAGGCAAGTAAGTATGACACTATGTTTTTAAATGTTAAAATGCCATGAATCAAATATGTTAAAATGTAAAATAAGAGAGATGAAATTTTGAATAAACAAAAAAGATTTTTAAAAAAAATCAGCCTTTTGTTTGACAGAGTTAATTTAATCCTAAAACAGTATATATTTGTTAAAATGAGAAGCAAAGTAATTAGCTTGGTAATTAGTGAACTAACATGTCTTTGTTTCTAAATGTTAAAATGCCATGAACCAAATATGTTAAAATGTAAAATAAAAGAGATGGAATCTTTGAATAAATAAGATCAAAATGTTGATAAAAAGAGTCTTTTGTTGAATAGAGTTCATGTCGTCCTAAAAAGGTACATATTAGTTATAAAATTTTAGTTAGAAAAATTATTAGTTAGAAAATTAACATGTCTTTGTCAATGTGTCAATAAAGTTTATTGAAATTTATTCAGGTTTGTTTACAGCTCACAGGAGAGTCTCTTCACAACCTAACTTAAAGAGTGTAAAGCTCATAGACATAATAAAAGATAGACCCCGCATCGGCCGCTACCACGAATGGGCGTTGTCGAGAAATGCGGCCGCCATCTTGGTCCGGTCATCCGCCTCACTCTGCACCGCTGTTTAACCGGCGGAATGAAGTCTGAGCGCATTAAATGAATCATAGTTCGCTCAATACTACGTAATTTTCTTCTCTGCAAACGCCATTCAAAGAGGCATAATAGAGGCTATATTTTTTTTTGGCGTTTTCAAATACTCAGAATGAATAAAATGATATTTTAGAACATGGCAGCAGTGGCTGTATTATAGTATAACAATTAATCAAGGATATATCTAGGTTTAGAGCTAGGTTCCTGCTATGTCTCAATAATTATTAATAACTGGCGGTTTTAATAGGCCGATTCAATATATATTGATTTGATTATATTTTATTTAGTTTAATTTTATTTATCCATTTGTAGACACACACAAATAATGTCATATAGAAGCACTATTTTAATAACTGGAAAATACACACAAAGAAATACACACAAATATATAGCCTACATATCAAAAAAATTTAAACACAAGAACAGCATGACAGGACAGCATCTAAACTACATATCAATTTGCTTGTTGGCTACACAGCACAGAGGAATCACTTGCTGCGAATTTCTCCCTCTAACAGCAATCTCCCACTTCTTCCTCAAGTTTTTGTCCTTAGGAAATCTTCAAAATGAAACAGGAGATCACCACAAAGAAATATTTAATAAAACAGAGCTCACTTTCTTCCTTCTTCTTTCTATTTTATTTCTTAACGTTTCTTAGAACCTCTCTCAAACAAAAGTTTTTCAATCTAATGCAAATCTGTTGATAATAGAGCAAAGTTGCTATTATTGTGAATAAGATAGCTGTTCGCAAATGCTGTTTCCTTTTTGGAGTTGACCGATAGTCTTCCTCTTTGGCCTACAAATGACTCTACAGTCAAGTGTAATGTTGAAAAAACGTTTAATCATAACTGTGAAAAGTTATTTCTTGAGCCCTGTTCTCTGCTGTCCGCCTGTTGGCACAGGAATACGCCGCACAGTGCTCCGGCATCGCTGAATGAATGAATGAATGAATATGATTGACCGGAGCGTATGGGAAACTTGACCTGACCAAGATGGCGGCCGCATTTCTCGTTGCGCAGCACCCCCAGCGGGGTCTACCCTTTTATTATGTCTATGGTAAAGCTGGCGATCTTTTATTTGTGTAAATTGCATTGGTTACCTTAAATCATTCAGCCCTATCATTAAGCTTGAGGGGCGGGACTTAATCACAACTCGGAAGAGAGGAGCTCAAACTCAGGTGAGATGGAAGTAACGCACGTGTGAAGCTGAGGAGAAGTTTTATGTCCAAAGGTGCACGCGGAGTCTCCTGACTTGTAATGGACATTGAGAAGCTTTCATAAGGTGAATATTTGTGTATGCAACTGTTGAACTGCTTCGACATGATGTGGTGGGATGTGTGTTTATTTGATATGTTAAGCGGGATCAGCGCATTAGCGCAAATTAGCATGTATTAGCTTTGTAGTATCGGCTAATGTTATTGTCTATTATTGTGCATGTTAATGTTATCGGCTAGCCTACGCTCATATAGACTTTGTGTGATTAGTAAATGAGTTAATAGAAGATCACGGAGAGACTCAATGATCTGTTAATGTATAGGGGAGAGTGGGGTAAGTTGAGCCACCCCCTGCTGCTTGGAAATGGTAAAAAAAATTGAACATGTGACCAAATATTTAGGAGATGGGCATCAATTCATGGAGTCTGTGAAGGTTAGAAGCACATGGATGAAGGGGTTAGACATTTATTTACAAAAAAAAACAAAAACATTTTTCACTCTTGAAAATGAATTTAGTCTGTCATCAGTTTTAGTAGAATTGTGTTCCAACCAGAAAAAGATCATTTTAAATTTGTTTTATACATCAATTGTGGTATCTATGAGCGGCAACATGACGTCAAAAACCAACATAAAAGTCCACCATTTTGGCTTAGAGGACTACTAAAGTCATAATGGTAGTTCTGGGCTAAGGTGAACCAGTGGCTGAATAGGGATACGGCTGAACTTACTCCGCTCCTATGGTCAACTTACCCCATACACGGGGTAAGTTGACCACTGTATTTGTCAGGCTATATTATCAAGACAGTTTTGTTTACACTCATTCTGTTGGTTTGCATGGATGAACAACATCTTGAAATATATGCAGATACACTAGTTAGAGACAAAACTATGATTGCCTTGATGTAGTGATCCGAAATAAGAAAAATGGCTCATTTTACCCCACTCTCTCCCTACAGTGAACCAGGAAGCTCTGAAGAGCAGAAGTCCCCCAACAAGCGCCCCATGTGTCTGGACTGTTGCTGCTGTTAACTGTCCTGAGGGTGTTGGTCATGACTCCCCTTGTCTTCACCTTAACCTTTCTCACTGCCTCTCAACCCAGCCATGGATTTGAAGTTGGAGGGAAGGTTTCGTGAGTAAAAGGTAACCAGCTTCTTTTCTATACTTGCAATAACTTGATGTAGTATTTAACTAAATAAGAATTCTTTGTGTCATGTTTACACTTCATTGAAAAAAAAAAAATCAATGAATCCAGTCCACTCTCTCTTGTTTTTGGTCTTCTTCAGTGCACACACAGGCAGGTGCGAGTGGGTAGCTATGGTTTTAGGGACACTGTTGGTCACTGAAATGTTCTATTGTATTCCCAGTTATTAAAATCAAGTTTTAGTTAAATGATCACTTTTGCAGAGACTTTTCAGGACTGTGCTGCCTCACAGTGTGTGTCACAGAAACTTACCACAGTCTGAACTATGTTTAAGTTTTAGAAATAACGTAATTCTTGCAAATGTACAGAACAAAACTTATGCTGTAGATACATAATTAACAAACACATGGCTGAAGCAGAGATATGTTAATATATCAAATAATGCAAAGAGGACCATACACACTAAAAGTGGTTTGAAGAAGAGATAAAGTCAGTCTACTGTTGAGGTTATTTTGCAGGCTGCAGTGTGGGTATAGTTTCAGTAAAAAGGATTAGTTTTGAATGTGTATTAAATGAATCATCCCATGGATTGGCACAATCATCAAGGTCATGATTAACTAGGTCACTGAGTAAGAGTGGGACTGTTTCTACTCTGTTCACTCAGGCCATTTAGATGTGCAGCTATTAAGATGTATGAAACAGTACAACTGCTTTGACTCAAAATCATTTCACAGGTGGTTATGAGAGATTAAAATCATCTTCATAAACAGGATCATTTATCACCAGAGTAGGCTCATTAGACAGCATGCAGTCTGGGCACAAAATTTTGGACCGTACTTCTGTTATTTATTATTATTTATATTTGATGATCTCATATTGATGTACTGTTTGCTCTATGAGCCGAGCATGAAAAAATGACTTTTGTGAGGTCTATTTTTGTGCATTTGAAACACAGGTAAAGGGAAAAAGGCATGCTCTGACAAGCCCAGCACTGATGTACTTAAAAGGTCCCCGCTCATCAGCAACCTTTCTGCTTGATGTTTGAGTCTGGTCTGGTAAAATGGAAAGACTTTACTCTGTATTTTATGCTGAATTTACCAGCAGGTTGAGTTTAATCAGCCTATTACATGAGTAAAAAAAAGACTCTAGAGTGTCTGGAGACCATCTGTGTTTTCATATGAGGAATAATGTACTACAAGAGAATAATTAACCCCTGGAGGATGACTGAAGATCTACCTGTAACACAGATTGTTTTCTTTAGATCAACAGATTTCCTAATTAACAAATGTCCCCCTTTGTTTGGGTGGGTGGGTGGATGGGTGGGATATTCCGTCAGCAGTTTACTCCTATTTTGGAGTTTTGACAGTGCAGTCTTGGCAGTGTATTGGTTGTTGTCAAACCACTTAAGCAAGCTCATCTGCTCACCACAAACAGTCTAGTAAGCCAAGTTCATGTTGCGTGGCGTAGAATGGAAAACACAAATAAGGGACCAGACTGCCCATCCCTGCAGGTTTTAGGCTGTGCGAAAGGGAAAAGCAGTGCTGGACTGTTGATTTTGCAGATTCTACCATGGTCTGATAAAGAGAGATGAGGATTTAATCCTTTGGTTAAAAAAAAAAAAAAGTTTTGGTTCAAACAGTCATGCAACTACATGACCTCATTTAAGGTCAGTGGTCTTTTTCATAATAAATGTCATCTGCAAAGGTTTTATAGTTTGTTGAAAATATTTTATCACAAAAATTACTGGACTAATCCCAACATTTTTTTTTAAAATCTTACTGGATATCCTGAACCGTCAGTCCTTAGTTATGTGTCAAACATGTAGTGATACATTATGTATAACAGAACTATATATAACAGATTCTACAAATGGGCGATTTCTCTGAAACGTTTCTAAAGCAACCAATTCACATTGTCTTGTGTTGAAGTGTGTTGTCTTTACTGGTCATGGTCTTAGTTGTATTAGTGATATTAGCTTGTAGCCTGATGCTATTTAGCTGGTGAACTGTGGTGAAATGTGCCTAGATGAGACTCTTGAGTAACTGCAGCTGTAACTAATTATTAACATTCTCCTCGTGAGAAATGCTAACTTGTCCTGTTTTGTACACCTCGGAGAGGACTGGTCGCCTGTTACTGACTTGCTTCCTTGATACTGTTTAGTAGCAGTGAGTTTTCACATTAGGGTCAGCTCTGTGAGCCCCCAGGAGACTGTAATGAACTCAAAAGCACAGGGTGAGGAGGTATTATTTCTGAGGATGACTTGCTGTTGTCATCAGTAGTGGACAATTTGAGGCAGAGGCCGGGCTTTTCTTTGTCAAAGGAAGCTGAGACTCATGGTTGACTGACGGGCACACATCTCCCCTGAGCATTGACAGTCTGACATGCCTTTCTTGCTCGTCATGCTTGTCAGGCTGCCTTGTGGAGATGCAGAAAATTGTATGTTGTCCTCTCAGTCTGGAAAATGACGCTTTTTCAGTCACTTCAATTATTTTGATCCATTTGACCTACATAAAGTACCAAATTTTGAAAAGTGATTTCCTTTACGTACTTACACAAGTGCCTCTTTTGTTTTTGCTCTTCCATTCTAAGTAAACATATTCAATGAAGAGCTTTTCTTAAGGTTCGGTACTCAACATATAACCACAATAACTTTCTGTTCAACACTAACTACGATTTATGTGAGGAGAAGAAAGTTTTGATTCATTTCCAGGGTTTTTCCTGGCTCAAATTGAGGCAGAGGTGGCACCATCCTGACCATGCGCCATGACGCGCATATATTTGTAAATTCAACTGTCTCACTTTCTTTTACAGGCAACATACTTTAAGTTCAGAGTTCAAAAAAGAGTGTGACCATTATCATGTTAAAGCATTCATTTATTAAAACTATATACATACACAAATCAGCTGGCAACTTTAAATTGAAAGTACACTTCATCCACACATCTCGCAACCAGACAGAACATTTCAGCCTCCTCTTTTTCATTCTGTAGAACCTCCTCATGCACTTCTTGTAGTCCAAGGCCTCCTGGTCTGGTCCATCAACAGCCACCTTACAACAGACATCCAAGTGCCTCTCCTTCAGTCTGTTCCACAGAGGTGTCTTCACCTTAAACAAAACAATTCATCATGCATTAAGTATTTTTGTTTTTATTCTGATACAGACATGAAGAGTGATAGTGTTTTCAATCATATATTATATATATGTATACGCTGCAGTGTCCTCCCTAAAAAAAAACGACAACTAATTATTTCTTAAACTATCTAAACTATGTTCTTTTAGTTTTATTTATTTTTTATTAATTATTAGTTATTATTTATTAGTTGAGTGTTTTTAGGTACTACCATCTTTAATATATTTCTCCTTCTCTTCTGCTGCTTTGTGAACGGCTATCATCTCATGTCTTTTTAATGTGTCCAGCCTGTAGTTGGTTGATGGCTGTCTCACTAAGGAGGCAGCAATTGCCTGCTGTGTTGGGGCACAGTGCTTTTGGCATAAATAGCAGTGCATGCCTTCCTCAGTATGCCTGAGCCAGGTAAAATGATTGAGCCATTGCTTGTCAAAGCCACTGGCTCTGTGTTTTTGAGAAAATCTGGAAAGAGGAATAAAACCACGTACACGTTGGCTTTGCGTTGTTATGCTCCTAATTGGAAACTAATTAATTAATTACCCTCGCCTCGCCGACTCGTCCTGTCCTGCATTCTGACCCTCGCGATCACCAGTCCCTTGTGAACTACTTTCAGACCTGACACAAATTTCCACGTTGTCACCACTATGAATTATAGCATTTTAACTGCCTATTACGTTTTTTCTCTGCTGTGTTTCACCTGGACTCTTGACTTTCCTCCTTGCGAGGTCGCTAAAGTACTGGCTGATTTTGCCTGTCATATCTGCAACGCTAAAAAACGGAGGAAACTTTTTTTTTAAATAAACACGTCATGCTTGGATGCAAAAAAGACAAGCAGTATTTACCTGTTTGTACCATCCGCCAGGGAAAATCAGGACGCCGATAGCACCAACTAGCGGGAAAAAAACTTGAAAAAACATGATTCGATCCGTTTCTTCTTCGGTAGATGCTTCAGGTCTTTCCGGTGCACTGCTGTTGATATAGCGCCTCAATAGTGGCGCAACGCTGCAACTGCAGTTAAAATACGTTGCTGCAGCAGAGGGACATCATACACTCAATCAACACAGCTGGAGCTTTACGCTGTGTTGAGCGAAATCAATCGCTCTGGCCGGGGGCGGCACAAAATTAGGTGGAGGCGGCCGCCACGCAATTTTGAACGCAGGAAAAACCCTGATTTCTCTAACTTGGTACAAATTGGAGCATTCACAGTGATGTGTCTTTCCATATTTGTTTAGAGGTGATCAAAGTCCCCCCCGCCCCCGTCAATACTTAGGCCTCGTCTCAGCAGAGGTTAACACAAATTAAAATGCATGACTGATATTGCAACAGGCCAGTAATTTACCACATGGTTTGCTGATGCGTGGTAATGATCAGTATTGAATGCCAAGCATGATGTCTCAGATTGCAGCTATGGTTATTAATGCATGATGTCAAAACCAAGCGGAGAGCACGAGGAAAAATGTACCCAGGAATATTTTCTTTGCCTTGAGATCGTAGCTTTACAGTGATTATGACCCACTTATGACCATCAAAATTGAGCTGTGCCACGTTCAAACAAAATCTGTCGGTTACTGGATCGCGTGAGAAGCTTTGGATGGACGTCACCTGTCTGGTATGAAGAGATTTGGTTGAACAGTTTTCTGCTCTGTAACAAGAAATCTATTTTGAGCATGAAATTCCCCACAAGTGGAAGAAAAATGCGGAGGAAAGGTTCTCTGGAGGTTGAACAGAGGCTAGAGAGCAAGAAAAGTAATTCCCGCTGCAAATTCTGCCGAGGTTAACCGCCCTCTCCAGCTAATGACCCCTCATGCCTCGTGTATTTGACCTCCATTGGTTGTGATGTGACAAATTCCCAGTAGAGGAAAGTGACAAAAAAACCTGTTTTACTCTTAATATTGGCTAAGAAGGGCAAGTGAAGATTTCATGTTTGGCTTGATGCTGATTTTTTACAAAAGAGCATTCTGCATTAGCAATATAGTCAAAAACCTCCTCTAGCAGTAAAACCTTATTCCGTTGTTTCTACTATCGTTTAGATTTCTTGTGTATGTATTCAGAGTTTTTATTCTCGTCAAAAATTTTGCTTTGATTGGGTGTTGGTGGTGAAATTGTGGCACCTGTCTGGCTTGACGAAAGCCTCATTAGACGGAGACTTGCTCATCATCATGATACACCAGATGGCAGGCTCAGTACTTGGGGGTGAAACTGATAATTCTGAGGCTGCATTTTAACACGAAACTTAATTAAGACATCATAACACGGCTGACCCAGCTAAAAATATCACAGCAGGCTGAAATGATTAATCATAATCAGTTTTCCAGCCATATTTTGCTGCCATCACTTCACTGCTGGAGGAATGAAAAACAGTCTGTCCTCTTTTCACACCAACCAGTGGCTTGGATGAATTTTGTTGAACAGATTTTTTTTTTCTGCTTAAGGATAGCTCTAACCAGCTAAAAGACTGTTGTTGTTGTTTTTATTATCTCAGAAAGTACCGTCAGCTTTTTATATCAGTGGATAAATAACTAATTCAAACTGCTGTGCTGCACTAAAACGCTGACATGCTCAGTCATCTCAGGACTCTGTTTTGCTGTCAGCACAAACGTTCAAAACACCAACTTTATTTGAGTGGAAAATATGTTGATCCTGCCGATTTTGATTAATTTCCTGTCCGTCTCTGTCAAACAGATATATTTGCTTCTATTAATGATGCTCATTCCTCACAGCATTTTTGTTTAACCCCTCCCACAGTTAGTGAGCTGGTCAACTCCTTTTCTTTGTATTCAATGTTAAATAAAGAGGGGACGTTTGCTCCAAAGTGAAAAAATAAAAGGATATTATTCTTTATCTCGTCTTATCTGCTCTGACTCCAGCCACCCGGACAGTTAATATTAACTCGTGTTATTACTGGCTGTTGTAATATAAGTTTAACTGTGAAATTTCATAAATGTGAGGCTCTTTCATTTAGAGTCATTATCACATGATGTTGAAAGATGGCGACCTACTTTGTAGATATTAAAGGTTCAGGTCTGTGTAGCAAAATGTTTTTTATAGATTCAACATGATTGTAGTTATTAGGTTGCATTTCTACGAAGTTTGTACTGCTAGGTGTTTCAGATTTTAAGTACGACTAAAGCAGAAAAGTGTCTGGATGTAACTCCAGCCTGTTTTTTCTTTCTTTTTTTCTTTTGTGTTCTTTTTCCTCCAAATAGGCGAAAACAGCACATCATAAATCACATACGCTTAGAGTTCATGTGGTGAATTGAGAGTGGTTTCTTTTTGTTTATCAAAGGCCATTGAAATGTGCATATATTTTGTTGTTGTGGGAAGTTCAAAGATAATAGTATTATTTATATTCGGTCTTGTTTTGTGTTTTGGCTCAATGAAAAGCTCACCGGTTGTTCTGCTGTAGTTTCTCTTGCGCTCCTCATGGTGAGTTTAATTTAGCTGCTCCATGAAGAATGCCTTTTCGTGCGGTGTACTTATACTTTATCTTCTTCTGCCAGGATTTTACATCAGACAATGTTTGAAGTGTACAGAAATATGAATGTTGTTTAGACTGTTCTGAGTATTTCTCTCCCTCATGATATCAAAGTTAAGTTGGATCTCAAATGGAACAAATTAAACAGGTATACTATATGTCATTCGGGTATAATAAGCACAAACATAATATTAAATCTACATTTAAATACTCACAGTCAGCCATACTCTGGTTCACACAAATTAATTCCTTTTAATTTATTGGCATATCATGAACTTTCTAGTTAAACTGTAGTTTATCTCTTTTATCTATTTTTATTCCCAGAGTTTACTTAATACTGTTCCTCCACAATTATATAATCACATCCCAAAAAATAAACCAATAACACAGTCCATGATTTTCAATTATAAAGTAATAAGTGGAAATGTTGGCCTCTTTTTCATTCTCTAGTGAAAACAGCTGCAGGGCTTTATGGACATTGTTATCACGCATTATGTAATCGTTCTCATTAACAAGGGTGAGGGTCAAACAGTAATTGCAGCGTGACCCTGAACCTGTGAGTGAGGCTGTTTGTGCTGTACCTTCCCCCAGTAAGTCAAAAGACACTAAATAGGTTTTGCCTTCTGTGTTTATGAAAGGAGTTACTCGGTGCCCAGAAGGAGTGTTTTGTTTGGCCACTCAGAGACCATTTTTGGAGTTGTATCTGGATCTAGATCATGCTTACTATACACTTTGGTAAATAAAAAAAAAACACTATACTTTTTCTTGCCTTTTCGAAGGAGCATCTTCCATTAGGCTGTGCTTCACTCAGTCCCAATATACCATATATTTTGTACCTATTTTTTTGTACCTCTTAATTCTGTTTTTGTTTTTTTCTCTTTTTTTAACTTATCTATTGCACTAGAAACTCTGAGAAGCTCTGAGAAACTCTGTAATCTCGTTGTACTTCATTATGATGACAATAAAGGGCATTCTGATAGGAGATAGGAGGTGGCGCTCTTCTAGTTTAAGCTTTCTACATTCAATTGACCACCATTGCAGCCACTACCACCAACTACTACGCGTAACTGAGAATTCGAGAATTCAGTGCAAGCAGAAAATGTGAGCACAAAAGATACTTAGTAGAGGGATTTAGGAACCGCTTTTTAACTGTTGTTTCTCCGCACTCCTGCCTACAACTTACAGTAAATAAAGCTGTTGAATTGAAATGACTCCTTAGTTTAACACAAGTGTGGAAGTGTGTGGCTTATGTCTTGGCAAATTAGTATTGTGTGTTGGATCTAGTGGGCATCAACTCCTGTATCAGTAGCCAGATGGACTGCCAACGCCACATGGTGAATTACGCACACGACTATCCACACGGTCAAGGTTACTAGAAGCAGATTTGATACTGAAAACATACAACAAACAAACTTTTTTTTAAAGTAAAGTAGTGGTTGCAATGATTCCCAAAATAGCATATAATGTTATTCTTTCTTTCTTTCTTTCTTTCTTTCTTTTGTTTAATGTATTTTTTCTCTTTTTCTTCTCTTATTAAGGATTCATTCCACTTTGAATTCAACTTTATTTGCCCTAAGGAGTCTCTAGGTAGAGCTTCCCAAAAAGGAGGTTTTTCTTCACATTGTTACCACAAGAAACGTTCTTCCCGTAATCAAGTGCAGCAACAGGTGAAAACACAGCGAACTCCATCAGACCATCATATTAGGGCACTGCACTCTCTCCAGCTCTCTTGTCAGATTTCAAAGAACCAAAGCCGGTCCCTCTCCCTCTCATCTTCTCTTCCCCTTTCCTCTTTTCTCTCCTGTCACCTGAAAGGCCATCTGTTAGTTTCCATCTCTGCCTCTGTCTCTAATGACTGATCAATACTAAATTGGTGCCAAGATCACAAGATACTGTTTTTTTTTCTTTTTAGCAGGTATCATTTTTTCAAAGATATCTGAACCAATAAGCGGTAAGAGTCATGTTTATAGCATGTATAGTGAAAAGCAGAGTAGTGCAGACCTGTAATGATTTATAACAGATAAATACTGGCTGGTTTGTATTTTCAATGAGCAAAAAGTATTTGTTCTTGTTTCCAGTCAACTGTATGATTGGTGTGTTTACACAGGGAGTTATCCATTCAGTCTTTTTCACTGTGCAGATTAGTCTTGCTTTGGAGGCAATAACCACAAAATCTGGTCCGGACATGAAAGCTTTAGGGGATAAAAGCCTTTGTTTGTTCCTCATTTTCAGTTATAAAAAGAGGGAAAAGGGAAAGGGAAGTGAATCACACGTATGTAATACACCTAATAAAGGTGCAGTTCATATCCAAGACTATTTACACATGTGTTCTCTCTGGTTCTGTGGAAAATGTTTTGGAAACTAACCCTGGGCTCTGCATATATTGTACTTTTGGACATTTGGTCTTTTTGATCTGAGTGAGCACATGCTTCACAGGATATTAAAGGGAATTTTGAAGACAATTCTGAGGTTACTTAACCATTATGAAAGCCAAAAAGCAGAAGCAAATAATTACAACAACGTAATTCTGATAAATATTGTTGTCAAAAACTGCCAGGAGGTGCAGTTTTCTGAACAGCTGGGTAGTCCTTGTCGATCCTTTTAATTATATTTCATCAAAACAAGTTAATGAAGATTTTGACGCGTTTTCAGAAAGCTGTGATCTGGCTGGTCTGTCTTCAGTATTATCATTATAATGTTAGCAGTGTTACCAAAACTTTGACACACACTTCTGAAACCACCTTACTCTGTATGTAGGACTTGGGGGACAAACTCTTGGTTGTTTCCCTTATGATATAAAATAAAGTCACGTACAGAAATAAATGTAATAACAGTAAAAGGGACGCACTGATGTGTCAGCTGAACAACAATTTCTACTAATATTTGTCCTGTCCAGAGATATTGGCTTGTCTTAATGTACTACACCAATATGTCCAACATTAACCAACTGGTTCTCATGATAGTTAATTTAAGCTTAATTACCTATTAAATAGGGCTGTGACGATACGCTTTTACCCCAATTCGATTCCTCTACGATCTTTTGGATGCTGATTCGATTTAAATTGCAATTCTACAATATTGTCAATATTTTTTCAATTTTAGTCTGCATTTTAAACACCAGTGAAAAAGTTGAATGATTATGATTGTCTACTGACTCTTCCAGGAACCATATTTCCCCCCAAAATACACATCACATATAAGTCAGATTTTCAGAATTTTTTTTAAATTTGAAAAAAAAAAAAAGATTTTTGAACATAAAAAACGATTTAAAAATTGTAAAACAAAAAACTGCGATACTTATGTGAATCGACTTTTTTCTCCCACCCCTACTATTAAACTACTTTTAATCTCTGCTGTTCTTATTCTCTTCAAGAGTTTCTTATCGTTTTAGTCCTGTTTTTACCATTTTATTCATTTATTTATTTCCTTTCTCCTTTATCTGTCCTTTATCCAACTTTTTTCCATCTTCTTGATGTGATGCTTTCAATCATCAACTGTCATCAATTTATCTTTGTTTCTGCAAATCTGAGTCTTTAAGTCTTTGCTTGACCTGATCGTTAATTTATTCTTTACTGAGTTCTGCCTTTCTTTTATCTGTTAAAGCACTTTCTAAACGTCTGAATTTAAAGTTACAATATAAATAGAAGTTATTATTATAATATTATTATTATTTAGAGGTTTATGTAATGTCCAGGCTTTCTTCAGGTACACACCAAGGGGTTAACTTTTTTCACTTTCTCTTATAATTTTGGCATGAAGACATCCTACCTTCTTCACTTCTATTTTCTACTTTTACTCACCATTTGGATGTCCATCACTGCTTTTCTAAACTCTGGTCAAGCCTATTATTTGGCTCGGGATGTGCAACTTTATTCTAGTTGGGGGTATTTTTAGAGCACAATGACATCTCAGACAGCTTAAACCAACTTTGTGGCTGCAGTTTGAGAAACATCAGTTCCCTCTTCCTCCTTAGCTACTGGCTCAGTTGCATTCAAGACTCTGGCCTGACAGCAAATGAGTGCAAAACAGGTTTGACATACACCACAGTTGGCATAAAATGTCAGACCTGCATATGCGTAATGAAGTTGAGATGAGGTTTTGTGAACAGCTGGGCTCTCTGCCTGCCATGCAAATCATGCAGGCATACTGTTTCTGAATCCCTGCTGAAGGGTTAGGTGGCACATATTCAAATATTAGACTTCCTATTCTGAATTCAGTCTATACCTATATGTGGCAGAATGGGACAATAATAATAGCATACCAAATACCAAATAGATACCAAATACTGCCCTTGTTATGAGACCTTGGATAATAATGCAAAAATGGGGCAGGTTTTAAAAAGGGGACTGATATCCTGACCAGCTGGTTTAGGTGTTATTAACTCATAGATGGTCATTATCAGTCATCATATAGAGCATGAATAAAAGGCAGTGTTTTGGGGGGGATTATAATGCTTTTCCATATGCAGTGTTTGAATGTTTGGTGTCCATACTAGATGTATGCAAAGCTCCAAATCACGAGGTAAACATATTCTGTCATAATGATAGCAAATATATGTAAACTGCTCAAGTTGAGGGCCAACAGCAACCCCCAAAATGTGAATTTTTATAGAAAACTTGAGCATTTTTACAGCCTGGTAGAAACAATGGTTTTGATCTTAATAGCGCCTTTATGGTTTTTTAACAACTCCAGCATTTTGGTTACATTAAGGCTTAGAGTTGTGTATAAAAATTTACACAACAGGCGAGGTGGCTCGCCTTAGCCTCACATCTTTGCTGCTTTGTGACTGGAAGTTATTTCGAGTAAGATTAAGCGTTTGGGGTGCGGTAACCCTTACGTTCGGGCTTTAAAATGCATCTTTAGGAAATGATTCTTGATGTCACTCATTCATGCCTGAAGAAGAATTAATTAAAGCTGCTGTGAGGAGTTTTTCATTCGTTGTGAAATGGACTCAAGTTCACACTGCTACATTTTTAGGATCTACAAAAGCAAACAAGGTCATCGGCCAAAAGATCGATTATTTCTCCATTGTAATATTTAATGCCTGAAACCACTTTGAGGGCCCAGGTTTCAGACAGAACGATAGATGGCACACCTTAACATTTAACTCTTACAAAGAAAAGCAGGATGCAATTTTTAGTTGTATAATTCCATCTAGGCATGTACAAAACAAGCCATGAGGTGCTACTTTTGTCCACAAGGGGGTGCCAGAATCAGCACAAACCAACAGTTTCTTACAGCAGCTTTAAAAAAACAAGGAGCATAATCGAGGAGCAAAAACTGATCCTGCACCTTCAACAAATCAGAAAGACATTTTTGTTAATTGTATCTATCCCATCAAACAGATTGAACAATGGAACATTCGCTGATCAACTTACAGTATTTTACTCTTAATAATTCTCTAAATGTTCTTGTTAATTATGAAGATAATCATTTATTAAAGGCATAGAAAGAAAATGCTTATTAGAAGTGGGAGGCCAAAATTAGAAAGGAGAAGAGAAAAAAAGGAAAATGCTTATGATGCTGAGATAATTCCCTTGTCTTCAGTCCTCCCTGAAAAATATGTCTGAACTCTAAAGAGCTCAATTATAAACACTGCGGCTAAAGTTAGATCAGTTATATGCCAGAAAAGCCAAAGGAGCAATTACACTCTCAAGTGGGTTGAAGAGGGGGCGCAGAAGTCCAGTCTCTTTTACACGCTGGATAAACAAAGGCCAAATAAAAATGGTATAAGACCACTCTCTTAACGGCACAGTGGTAAACAAGCCAAAAGATGTGTGAATAACTACTAGAGTTTATTTCATTCAGTGGATGAATTTTGATTGATATTCATAATCTTTATTTTATAGAGGTGATGCAATGTTGTAATAATATCAGTGTCTGTGGCACTGAACTCTGCAGAGAGGTAGAGCGATTGAAGGGTGTGTGCCCTGAGTAGCAGCAAAACCACCCCCTCCCTGTGGAGTCCAGACACCGGAGATGGAGGTGTTGAATGACGCCGTCGTCTGAGCCTGATGAGATGATGGAGTTGCACAAAACTATGATGGCTGAGTGGTGATTTGGGAGACGACTGATGAAGTCATCCAGGGTTGATGAAGCTGAAGAGCCGTGAAGAGTCTGCCGCCATGGACAGATTGCTGACAACTATATCTACTACTGATTAAACAGACGAGGCTGTGAGTCAGAAATACAAAACAGTGTTGGCTTTAAAGAGGAAGTTCCTGAACTTTTCCGTGCACTCCCGCTGGTGTGACTGACCTACCATTTAATGTTTAATGATGTTTTCTGTGTAACTTTTCTTTGTTGTGTTTCATACTGTCAGCTGTCAATGCTTCTGGACACAGAACACATACCCACCTCTCCCTGTCTGCCTCACTGTGAACCTAAGAGCTAAATAAACTCATATCTGTCTTGTGTGTCTTAACGTACATGCCATACTATTTTTGTGTTTTCAATATCAGCTTTAAAAAAAGCAAGGGTTAGAGAAGAAACACATGAAAAATACATGTGTATGGGAAAACATTAGGAAATGCGTCTAAAAGCATCATCATCATGGCATAGGTATCCTTAAAATCCTATCATCTATCCCATTCTTTGTATATTATGTATTTTCATATCTAAAATTACTTTTACAAAATGCATACACCTGCGCCTGTTGTTTGCCTCATGCTTAGATAATGTTTTTTTATATCCCATTACCAGCAGGTTCTCCAGTAAGCTACAAAACAGCAAGTTTTTTTTTCTTCTGCGATGTGATTATCAACCTCTCTTCATCTGTTGTGCTACAAACAACAAAAAAATCATCCAGAGTACCATTAGCCCCTGCACCAAAGGTAAAGTTGAGAAGACGAAGGTTTAGAAATTGATGGAGACGACTAACAACAAATGATTACATTAAAAGCATATTGAACTGTAGTTTAACTTTGACTTTAAGAGAGATTTCTGCTCTAAATGAACACAAGTTGGTTTTGACTTTTCCCCGTGTTCATCTCTAATGTCAGCACTGGTACTGTGTTGCTATTTTAAGTTCACTGTTTCCTTTTAGGTGTTGAAGTAGAGGAAAAACATACTTGTTTATTATTAACTTGTCAAGTAGCTTCAGTTGAGCATGGCACTTGTGTCCTGGCATTTGATAAATAAAAATGGTCATTTCTGTTAAAAAACACAGATGTTTCATATCTATAAACCATGTAGCAACATCCAACACTAAAGCAATATTAATTTTCAGTTTACCATCGATACTGTTGATGCCTCCTGGCAATTCGTATCAGTTTACCTTAGTTTAATCTTGTGCACATGCTGTATTTGATTATGAAAACAAAAAAAATCTCCCTGCTCACTGTCAAAAACAAGGTATCTATCTGAATTGTAATCTACACCATGATTAATAGCTTCTGTAGCAAAGCCTTCCCAATGACTGCAACAGAAGGATGTCACACTTACTTCACTGCAGATAGAGTCTCCCTGTAAATTGCCTGTTGTGAGCACCTTGACAAACTCATGGGGAGCCAAATTTAAGGCTCATTGTGGCACATTATTTCCCACTAGACAGCTCCCGCAGTCCCAGAGTGATACTTATCATGGAGCTGAGCATGGTGAGTGACCCTGTTGAAGGCTCATCACAGATTCAGGGCTGAATTTATCGCTCATCTTACTGCTTACTGCCATTCAGTGATTCATCACCAGGTATCTAAAGCTGGCATACTAAATACATGGCCCATAAAAATCCTGCAGATAAGAACAGTATGATACATTATATGGAGACACCAATTGTAATTCACCCCATGTACCAAACAAGTTGTCGCTACATTTACATCCATTGTGGGAACAAGATAAGCAGACTGTTTGAAAGAAATGGGTAATTTATTTTATTTCATTTTTTGATGAAGCTTTCTTTGAAACTTCCTCAAAAGAGCATACTCTTAGGGTGTGTTTCCACTGCGTCCGGAACTGCTATGAAAAGGCCGTATCCGCCAACCGCAGTTGATCGTAACCATTCAGGTCAATGTGTCAATTTCACCGGAGCATGCCGGATAAATTCAGCACAGATTAACCCGTGCTGGAAAGGAAGTTGGGCACAGACACAAAATAAAACATCCAGCTTCTTTTCGGATCGTATTTCACACCATGCAGACGGGCAGGGATGAACAAGTAAAAGGGTTTTAGACAGCGTTTACCCCGATTACACCATGGGTGAGAAGATGCTGATTTTAGAAGTCTAGAGGTGGATTTCCTCTTCTGGAAGGAGACAATCTACTGCTTTTATGGTTATGTGGCTGTCTTTTATAGAGACAACTCAATATCGTGTGATTGCATGTGAATCCACGGGTTCTTGTGAGTTCTCACGAGTACCGCTGTCCATAATCCGCCACCAAATTCGCCTCACAAACAGATCCGGTAGGAATTGGCAGTTGGCGAAAATTGTCACCATTCCGGATGCAGTGGAAATTGAGGGTTACACTGATTTATGTTGAGGTTTGAGTCTTTTAAAACTAGCCTAATTACATAGTAGAGCTGGTCCCATCTGCAAGGGTTGATAGCTTAGTTCCTGTTTTAGCTCGATCTCCTCAAAAAAGGGCTGAAGTGATCAGCAGTAGAACCTCATACAAACCCACCCCAATCAATTAACAATAGATTGAAGAAATAAAGCTGTCTCTTAAAAAAAGTGTGAATCCACTATTACTTGGGAGCTACTATGATAAAGGAATTGGATGTTGTAGTGTAAACACATAATTTCTTGGCGCATGGTAGAGACTCAAAACCCCACACTGAGGGCTTTTTTTTTTTTATAAACTAATCCCAAACATTAATGTTATTTTCTGATTAATGGTAAAATGTTTAATTTTACTGTATGATAAGCTATCAAGTGAATATTGCTTCACTTCATGCTTGAAATACTCTAAGTGTTTTGACGACCTGGCTGTCCCGACTTCCTTTGCCAAGAGGTCGTTGTTAATACTGTAAGATGGCCCTGTCAGACTTTGGCCACAAACACCCAGAGGCTGAATTTGAAGATGGGAAAGAGACTCAGTTTTTTAGCCTTCTCTTTCCATTCTGTGATGATGTGATTCTTCCATTATCCCCAAACCTTTTCAGTGAAAGGAAAAAAACTGAATAAACTGGTTAACCCTTAGATGAGAGTGGTTTCTCTCTATTATCTTTGGAAGTATAATTCCAGGGGTCATAACATTGCTGTCCTATTATACTGATGCATTCTTTAGTGAACCTCTGCTCTCAGATGGGGAGCCGTTTGCAATGATTCTTTGCTGGAGGCTTATGTACTCCGTGTGTCCTTGCTTGGGTGAAGGGTGCTCTGAGAAATGTCAGTATTGGGGTGCTGTCCCTGGAGATGTGGGTTAGAATACCACAACATAAAGTAACATTTGTATCCAATTCAATCTCTTGTTCTAGCAACATTAATAAAAAAGTGACTCTCACGGTGCTTTGCTCTGACAGGGAACATTTATGGTTGGTGCAGAAAGAGGTGTGACATTTGATTTGTATAGTTTGGGAGCGTGATGGATTTCCAGAATGCTCCAACACTAAACAACTACTTTTCCCCAACAACTCAGGCAGTGTTAAGAATGTTTTACAAGGTTTCTAAACTCTTGGCCAATAGGTGCAATCCCTCCCTACCCTTCCTGCCCTTACCTTCCCTGCCTCCTCCCTCTACTTTTCTGCCATCTTAGTTTTTTCCCTGCCTCAACCCGTCTTTTTCCCTGCAACAGATTTGAACCCAGAACCATTTCATTTCAAAGCAATAGCATTAACCACCACACCACAGGTCTCCCTACTGCAATTGTCTTTTAATTTCACCATTCACATCAGACTTCTGTGTGAAGAAAACATGAATTCCTGCCTTACATTGAAAGTCCACGTTTGGGTTTGAACCTTGAATCATTCCACTGAAAGTTAGTGATACGAAACCTCCCACTAAAGAACTAATGTCCAGCGCACTTCTTTAAACTCTACAGATTCCTCAAATATACTCTGGTAGCTTAACATCTTTGTTCACTGTCCGGAGGGAGAAAGTCGAGACACTCTTTCTTCTCACAGAAGGACTTAGGTCTGGATGTAAAAAACTGAACCAGCTTGTTGTGACACTATGATGTTTTACACTAAGAGTAAGGTTAGAGATAATGTCAAGGACCACCAAACATCAAAATTTTAGTGGACAACAGAATCCAAACAAAATTTTGCTCAAATCCAGTATTACCTGTTGAGACATTTAACTTTATCACAGACGTTAACTTCAAGTTGATATCAGAGGCATTGCTAGCGAATTACCAAGGTATTTGTGTGCATCCCATAGACTGTATATACTATGGACAACTTGGCTCCGCCTTCTGTCATTATATAAATTTAAAGCCAAATTGTTCTCAGTATTTCCAGAATTTTCCTCACCTCCTGGAACCACCACTTGCGCAGTAGTGTTGTACGCATCCGGAGGGAGAGTCGCTGTGACGACGCTCTGCTCAAACAGCGTATCCCCAGGATGAGCTACCCAATCTTCGTACTCCCATTGGCTGTATTAAGTGTCAATCATAGGAAACATGAACTCCCTAATAACTTTTAAAAATGGAGCTGCACGGAAAAAAAGAGGACTTTGAGAAAAAAAACAGTCTTACAGTAACTACATGTCAACATTGCAACCAGGGGGGAGAAAAATTTATATTATTTGTAATAAATTTCTAAAGTTTATCCACAGCTCCATTCAGTTTGCTGGAGGAGGCGCGGTTTATGACCTATACTGTAGCCCGTCACCAGAGGGTGCTGTTTTTGTGGAGGCAGATGATGTCCATTCTATATACAGTCTATGGTTTATCCTCTTGGACCGTTAAATGTCCGGACAAAGCCTTGCGCTTATTTGTCTTGCACATGTTGAGATACTTCCCCTGGTTTAGTGAACATATAAAATGTCATTGACACCAGTTGATCAGTTGGGGAAAATTCATCCTCCTGGGACCATGACTACTCAGAATGAAGGGAAACTAATGCAGACTCTGTCAGATATTTCTGTTAGGGTTTAAAAAGCAGATTGCCACAGAGAAGTATCCTAGCACTAGAGCTGTATCACTGTCTCGTCTTGACAGGCAGTAAATATCTGTTGCTGTGTACTTTATAAATCTGCAAAGTCCTTACTGCAGTGTGAAAGTTTTCATTTCCTTTCGGCACCTTATCATGCCTTGGTGATATTAAGTTTTGCTCGTGATGATAACACCAACCCAAGCTAATTTTGTAACTGCAAAACATATGTTTATGTATGTAAAAATGATCAACAGAGCCTCCTTTATGTTAACTAGCTCTTTAATTAGTAAGGGAGTTGTGTTTCGTTGAAGTCAAGTAAGATGCTTTACATATCAGGATTGTGAGAGAACATTTGCTTGCAAAACATTCTCTAATGATAGCTGGTACT